GGGCACAGGGACAGACTTGCTCCTTTGCCTTTGGAGGCTCTGTTCTCTGAGAAGTAGGGGACTGTGCATATTGCCCACAAGAACAGGAGGCAGGGAGCGAAAGAGCATAGATGGCGTCTGCCTTGGCACTCCTGATTTCTCCCAACAGGGCTGCCTTTATGGGGCTCCCCCATTCTGTGGGTGCCCAAATTGGGTCAGGCTTTTTCTCCCCAGGTTCTCAAGGTGACTCCCTGAAGGTCTGGGGACGGAGTGGGCAGAACAGATGGGAGTGGGTGGGGGCAGGAGTGTGTGGGAGAAGGCACGAGAGGAGAGAGGATTTGGAGGTGGGAAAACGCATCGAGACTCTGGGAGGTGGGACAGGGGGACAGCCTGTGAAAAGAATGGACGTAGCCCGAGAGAGAGACACGCACAGTCCCGGGGGGAAGGAAAGAGGATTAGAGAGGGAAAGGGTTTCCAAGGTCCTGGAGGATCTTGACGAACCCCCTTCCTTTAGAGAAGAGGACACCCAAGCCCAGAGAGGAGGGCCCCCCACCCAGGCTACACAGGGGCCTAGCGTGAGCAGAGTTGGAAAGATCAGTATGTATCGCCCGTCCCAGTAACACGACTTGAGTCTTGGGAGGTGCTTGACTACTGGGTTTGATGTGACTTTGATGTTTGATTTTCCTCTAGGCCACCATGTGGGCCACTGCGAGGCTTTCTTCCAGAGACGGAGGGGTGGTTCTAGGCAGCAGGGAGAGCAATAGGTGGTTAACGGGGGCGGGGAAGACGAAGAAACCCATGGAGGTGAAACAGGAGAACGAGTTGCGACAGTGACACTGACCTATAAGAAGGGCATTCGTCCCTGTGCTGGGGGCACCAGAAGGCACAAAGCCGAGGTCTTTGGCTTCGTATAATCTCAGGCGTCAAGGAGTTAGAAGTAATTTAGTCCAGACCCTCTCCCCTGGCCAAACGAGTGCAGCAATGCTCATGCAGACCCCATGCTGGCTGCAGAGGAACACGCCTCCTCCGGAACAGGACGGCTCCCTTTCTTTGTTCCCGAGTCCAAGACTGTGAGTGGGGGTGGCACTGTCTGTGGTGCTGAGTGGCGCTGCCTCCAACCACAGAGCTGCAGGTAGGGGGCGGGGAGAGCAGGGAGGCTCCACCCACCCACATCCATCCACGTGAAATCAAAACAAAAAACTGTGAAACTATACATTGCAGAGCTGGGTGGACTAATTTTTACCAAGGAAATTGAGGCTCAGAAGAGGAAAGAAGCCTGCTAAGGCCCCACAGAGCTTCTGTAGTCTGAGACTGGACTGGAAATCGCTGCTTGTTTCCACACACCACCAGTTCTCTCCTGTGGTCCGGGAAATTGCTTGGTTTTGCTGATATTTATACTGATGTTTGTTCAAAAAAGCTTCGCAGGCAGGAAATGTGATCTTCACCCCATCCTGAGCCTGGGTTGTGTGCGTGCGCGCATGCTAAATGCTAATTTGTGTGTTTATTTTATATATGGTTGCGTTTTTATTCTCCTGTGTGCATGCTTGCGTGAGGGTATGTGCGTATGTTTAGGCAGTGGTGTGCACATGGTGATATGTATTTGTGTGACACGTGTAGATGTGCATGAGAGCAGGTTTAGCTCCGTGTGAACTCTCCCTTCCCTCTTCTTTTTAGGGTTGCTGGGGCTCCAGCCCTTGGACTTGAGTTAGTTCCCCACCTGTGCCTCCCGCAGGGAAATTCCCCACTTCCCATGCTCAGCTGCTCCCCACCGATCCCCTCCTCCCTTCTCTGGAGCAGCCACTCTGCCCCATCTCCTAGGCTTTGCAACTTGAGTTATTTCCTCCTCGAGTTGATGCACTGGAGGTGGTTACTTTGAGGTGTTGCTTTGAGATCGGTTTCGGGAGGAGGTTGCAGCATTTGAGCAAGCCCCGAAGAACTCTCAGAGGGTGAAGGTGAAGCGACCCTTCCCGGTTATAGCTCCTGCACCCAATGCTCCCCCACTCCTGGGACCTGGGCAGAAGGGTGACAGGCAGAGAGCCCCAGGCTTCACAGGCCTGTCTGCAGCCAGCCCACTCTGGCTGGATGTGACTGCCCCTCCCTGCTGCTGCCCTAAGTCTCCCCAAGTTTCCTATCCCATTCTCCCACCACTGCCCTTAGCCTGAAGAGTCACAGAAAACTGACCAATCAGAACAAAGGGCAGACAAGCACCCACTAATTCCTGTAAAGGATAGGTTGGGGCATCCCCCAATCCAAATAAAGGGCAGGTCCAGGAGCCCACCAATCAGAACAAAGGACAGACTATTCTCTCTGAACCCCCTGGAGAGGGAACTGGGGGTCAGGTGTAGAGCAGGAGCCAAACAGGGTCTGGCGATCCAAAGACTTGGCTTCTGAACTTGGCTCTTCCCTGACTGGCTGGCTGATCACAGATGGGGCATTGCTTCTCATGGAGCCTCAGTTTCTTCACCTGTCAGATGGGGGTACATAACTGTCCCAAGCCCGTGACTTTGAAAAATGTCTCCCCCTGCATAGGTCTTACTTCATCACCATGGCCCCTCTCTTCCAACTTCCACAGCACACTCATATCAGACTGCATAACAGGGCCCCTCAGCGCTTAGCTTGTCCACCCCCTCCCCACACACACACCGGTCTCCAGCCCAGAGCAGACCCAAACCAGCACCACCTTCTAGCACCCTCCCTTGGGAGCCCCAGGCTGAGGAGTCGGATTGGCAGACTTTATTTCAGGATTATACGAGGCATCAGCTCCTCCTCCCCTCTTTAATCTGCAAAATTGACCTCTACCGGCAACAATAGCCTACATGTAGCTGGTGTGAGCAGGTGTTTCTGAGCCCTGGCCCTGTGAATCCGTAAGGAAATAGGCACCCATGTGAGCCTCTGTGTGTGTTTTGGGAGGGTGTCTGAAGGCGTGCTGGCGTGTTTCTGTGAAGGTGTGAAGGCCAGGGGCTGTGCAGTCAGCCGTGTGTGCTGCCGAGGGAGGGTGCCCTGTATAGGAGTGCCTGAGGACAGTGGATCCAAGGTGGGAGTCACATTGTTTGGAAGCAGCATTTCCTGTTGTTCGAGGGCAGAGACAAATCTCTGTGATCAAAATGTGTCTTTATCCTTGAGCAGTGGGAGGGATCAGAGGGAGGCTGGGGGCTGCGGAAAGCAATACCAAGTGAGCATGTGTGGAGACAGCCCACTGCTCCCACCCACTGCTCCCACTCCTGGGAACACAGGAGTGGGAGGGTAGGAAGGAAACTGAAGCCAAGAAGATGGCAGGGTGGAGTCTGGAGCTGCAGCCTGGACCCCAGGGCAGGACTCCTCTCTGCAGCCGCTCTGAGAAGGGGGCAGTTAACCCATTGGCTCATTCCCTCCGTCTCTCCTGATGGCCTCCGCCTATGTGGCATGGCTTTGTCTGGAAGATGGTCCTGCATCTCACTGGGCCAAGGGCAGCCTCCTGTGAAATATTATGGGTCTCCAGGCTGTCCCCGGGGTCACAGAGTCCAGCCCCCCTGCCCTGGAGAGCCTGACAGGTTAGAGTTGAAGACTGAGACCCTGGGTCTGCTGGGCTGTGGGCTAGGTACCCCAGGCTCCTCTGTCTCAGTCCCACGAAGGACTTGGTTTCCAGTGTCCTCCTTACTCCGAGTCTCATCCTGTCCTTACCTGGGACGCAGTGCACTGGGGACGGTCTAATCAGACCATAGGAGTCGAGTAACTCATCTTCTCTATTCAGGTCAACGGATCTTTGTCAGTATGGCCCGCAGTGTCAGCATTTTGGTTAATTACCAGCCATCACACTATGGGCTCCTGTTGAGATTGTGGTCCACCAAGACCCTCAACCTCATGTTATTTTCACACAAATGGGGGCCAAGCCATGTCTCCTTTATTCCATAGATAATCACTTGGCTTTTTGAACACAGACCCAGCCGGAAGGGAAGGGAAGATATCAGAAAGACGCTTCCAAGGGCTAGTGGGGAGGCCTTGGCTGAGTGAACAGTGTGAGTCATGATCCTGCCTTGGCCCTGGACCCCCTATTCTATTACCCTTCCCTTTGATCGCTGTGGATCTGGCCAAGTGAATAGAGTAAGAAGCAGGGACCTTCTTTGTTTCTGTTCCGGCTCTCCAAGGACAATGCCTGTTCGTGGGTTGGGAATGCTGCGAGGCAGTCAAGGCTGACTTCTCCCCACCCCCCCTCTAGATAGGACCTGGCCCAACTGTGTTTCTTCCACCTTGTGGGTTCAGGCCTGCCTTGGACCCTTGCTACTCCCAATCTATCTGGAGATGGGGTTCTGACCCAGCCTAAGGGGCACAGAAGACTTCTTAGAGGGGGAGATGCCTAGACTGAGTCCCGTATCCTGAAATGGGGACTGTACTCTAGACACCCCTGGGGCCTCACTAGACTGAAAAATGAGACTGGGTAAGACCGCCTCCCTCTTGGGGAAAGTGAGTGGGACCCACATTCAGCAGGTGTTTAGCTGAGCACCTACCCTGTGGGTGATCTGGGAGGCACCTGTCAGGGCTCAGTTTCATTTCATCTTCACGTCAGCCTGTAGAGTGAGACGGCCGTAGCTGCCTCCAGTTTAGAGATCGAAGACAGAGGCTCAGTGACTTGGCCAAGGGCATACACTGCCGATAAATAGTGGGTCTAGTATTCAAATTTGTTTTTTTGGTTTGTTTGTTTTCTTGTTTTGCTTTGTTTTAATGTGGAAGCTTGTACTTTCCTCACTGTGCCAGAGTTGTCCTTGGCTAAGGGACAAGAAACCCGAGGTTGAACCTGGATTTGACCTCCTGACTCACTCTGAGTTTGTTGCTAGGTCCCTGGCCCTTCCCTGAGCCCCAGTTTCCCATCTGTAAGATGAGTGAACTTGAACATTCCAAAGCCTAAGACTTGTTCCATTCTGAGACCCTCATATCCTGGGATTCCAGTGTCTGAGAGCCTTGGACTCTGGTTCAAGCTGGGAGTGTGTGCTCAGCTGCTCTGGCCCACTTGGCAAAGGCCCTCACCGCCCTTTCCTCTCTTCCAGGACGCGTTGCTGAGCCTGGGCTCTGTCATCGACGTTGCGGGCTTGCACCGGGCTGTCAAGGAGGCCCTCTCAGCGGTGCTTCCCAGAGTGGTAGGTGCCTGGCTCCACACTTCCCCTGCCCCCTAAACCTTTGCCCAGCTCTTTGCTGTACCTCACACAGGATCAAGCAGGAAGGAAGACAAAGAGCTCCTGCCAAGAGGATTCTTGTGGGGAAGTGAAGGGGTTGGCTGAGCGTTTGCAGAGGGCTTCCTAGAGGAGAAGGGCTGAAGTTAAACCCCAAAGACTGAACTTACATAGGAATCCAGGGAAGTCTGAGACAGAAGGAGCCTCGGAGCTTACCTGATAAGATCATGTCTCAGATAATAGAAGGGATTCACCGAGGATAGCAGCTAGGATGTAGTGGCATCACACGGGCTTTGGAATACGTACAGCAGGAGAAGTTGGAGGCAGATGTGGAAAAGAACTCACATGATGCGAGGTCTGGGAGGTGCTGGCATGGGGCTCAGCCTTGATGAATGGGTCTGTGCCGACAGAAAGTGTCCTGCCTGGAGACAGCGGGCTGGACGAGACGGCCCCTAGGAACCTTTAAGTTTCTCTGTGACCCATCCCGACTCCATGGATGAGGTTGAAGACCAGTGCAAGTGGAGGGTGGCTGCCTGGGCCCATGGTCTCCTGGTCACTATGGTGTCCTGAGCCCAGAGTGTCTTGGTGGGGGAACTTTGCCCCTTGTTAGCTGTCCCAGGCCGCCCCCAACCTGGCTCCAATGGTCACCATTCATCTTCAGGCAGGAAGATGGATAAACCAGCCCTCAAGACCCAAAGCAGCAGAGTCTCATTTGTGCCACAGAGGGAAGCAGAGAACTTATCAATCTGGAGAGGGGGTTCTGATCCAGCCTAAGGGGCACAGAAGACTTCCTAGAGGGGAAGATGCCTAGACTGAGTCCCTATCCCTAAATGGGGACTCTACTCTAGATACCAGCCAAGGGCAATCTCTGCTTCCAGAGATAAGGGTAATTCAGAAGGTGAACCCCTTACCCCTGGGGCCAGCTGTGTCTGAATCTGCTAATGGATAAACCACCTGAGGCCCAGAGAGGGCGGGTGCTTCCCCCAAGGTCACACAGCATGACAGAGATACATGGGCTTGGAACCTGAGCATCCTCATTCCCTCTCCTCAGCTCTGCCCTCTCAAAACCTCCTAGAAGTTCAGAACCCAGGAGGAGAGCTGATGAGTGAGCTTTATGGAGCATGAAATTGTCAGGAAGTGGGTGGCATGTTGGCACTCAAAAATAAATCCTCCCGGAGAAGGATGAGACTTAGGCAACATCTGGCCTGGGGTGGAGACACATCTGGAAAGGAGGGGGTAGGGAAGGTGGCAGGTCAGCGTCTGCAGGCTGCCCAGGCCCCCCTTTGGCCACGGAGGCTGTCCTGGGGCAGGAAGGAGGAGGCGACCGGCCAGGCCTTCGCAGGCAGGATGCCTGGTGGTATCAGCGGAGATGCCCTGCACTGGACTAATTACATCCCCAAAGGTGGGGGCTGGACAGACAGCTGTTGTCCAGGTGACCAGGTTCCTGGAACAGTGGGTAATGTCTACCTCGGCTCATTTAAGAGACCTGTTTGAGCTAGGGAAGCCCTGACTTTGGCTGGTTTGCATGGAGAGGCTCAGCCTTCAAACAGAGGTAGGGAAATGGGAGGTCTGCTCTTCCCTCAGACTGAGGGGGAGGGGTCTTCCTACTCCACTCCCCACCATGAGGATGGCGCTAGCACCTGGCTCCCTCATCAGCACCCATTGTGGCAGGCAGCCCCGAATGCAGATGGTGCTGATGTGTCTGAAACAGTTCCCTTCTTCTCTCCAATAAGCTCCGCTAATTTTAACCCAGAGGCTGAGGAGAGTGAGGGGGTGGGAGGCAGACAGGCAGCGGATGTGAAGTAAGGAGCTGTCCTCCCTGCCACCCCACCTCCAGGTTATCCACCCCTCTCTCTGCCAGGGAAGGTCGCTCTCTGTGAGTCCCTGGGTGCTGTGGGGTCTCTTCATCTCTAAGGAACACTTCCCACAGGCCCTTCCTGGGCTGCTAACACACCGTATGACAAGAAAGAGGCTGGATATAGCCGAGGAGGGGGTGGCCTCCTTCCCACTGATTTCTTCACCCCCGAACTCCCTGCCTGGACCCTCGCCCAGGAGGACAAGAGGGCTCTAGGCCTTGCCTGCATCTGTCCCGCTCGCTCCCCTCAGGCCCCTGTCATCACCACCCCACACCACACTGTGTCTGGCTTGGGTTCTCTGAAGGAAAGACCGGGCCACTCCTGGGGGTTGGGAGCGGGTGGGATCTGGCTGGGAACAGCCAAAGGCAACAAGAGTGGTTGGTAGGATTATGGACTCACAGTCATGAAAGCAACTGGTTTTGCTGAAAAGGATGCCACACTCCCTGAGGGTTGGGCCTCCAACACCTAGCTCATGTGTCACCTCCTCCAGAAGCCCTCCCTGATACCATCAGCTAGTCCTCCGTTCTCCCACGGAGATAACAGCTTCCCCCAGGATGCTCAGATGAGCTTGTGGATGCCCCTCACTGGGGCACGGGCTCTGCTGGACAGCACCGGCACCTGGTCTCCCTCGTCACACACAGTGTGGCCATGGAGGTATTCTGCAAGGCTGTGCTGAATGGGGATTGGCTGTGGAGCCCTAAGAGTAGCCAGTCCTGCCTGAAGGGAATGTGCAATTTTGTGTGTGGGTCAGTGAAGGCAACTGATTTTACGAAGACCTGCTCTGGGCTCTTGGAGAGGGTGGACTGACAAGTTAAAGACTTGACAAGCTCTGAGCAGAGCTTTGACCTCACTCTGGGAAGTGATCATTCCAAAATATAAATCTGTTCCTGTCTCTCAGGGCTCACCCCACACCCCCTCCAGCCGGCAGCAGCCCTTGGCATCCTCCCCCAGCTTGGTTTACAGGCCCTTCCAGCTCAGCCCCTGTGGCCCCCAAGCCCATCTTCTGGGCCCCTACCCTCACTGTCAGTTCCATAAATGCTCAGCCCTCACACTTACATACCTGCTACTCAGCCCAGGAGCCACTCTCCTGTGCCTCGTCCACTCCCTGAATGAGTCTAATTTCCCTTCCAGTTACAACATTAAGGCTACTTCCTCCAGGAAGCCCTCCCAGCTTGAGTCACAATGTGTGGTTTCTTGTGGAGTTGTTGGGGTAGGAGGAAAGCTACCAGAGCATTCTGAGCCGCTCCTGCAGTAGGGTCCTGAGTGGACACTCAGCTATTGTTTGCTGTGGCTGGAGCCACAGCAAAGAAACATCCCAGGGTGGGCGTGGGAGAGTTGTCTGCACCTTCAGACCCCGTCCCCAGTGCCTTGGACTTAGGGTGATAAGTAAGGAAAGCCCGCAGGGCCCTGGGTCACCACCTGCCCACAACCCCTTCCAAGTGGAGAAGGTGAAGTGGTGAGTTCATAAGGGAATTTTCCCACCCTGACTGCATTTAGAATTAATTACCTGGGGAGTGAACACAGTCAGACGCCTGCACCCACTCCCAGAGGGTCCATGGCCTTGTCACCCGGAACTGCGTGCAGGCTGGAACTGGCAGCTGGGAGGCCCTGTCTGCAGCGTGTCACGAGTGCCTTCTGTTTTAGGAGACTGTCTATACCTACCTGCTGGACAGAGAGTCCCGGCTGGTGTGTGAGGACCCTCCCCACGAGCTGCCCCAGGAGGGGAAAGTCCGGTGAGCCATTCTTCCTCCTACTGCCCTCCCTCATGGTCAAGGATCTCAGGCCTGGGGCACCTTTCAAGGTCACCTGGGTTGACCTTCCCCATCTGACCTTGACCTAAGCTTCCCTGCCAGGTGGGGTTTCTTGGCTGGACCACTGACCCCAGCGCAGAGGGGAGAAGTAATGTCTTCTTTTGTGTTGGGTTGGGGGGGTGAACTGCACAGGGAACGTGCCAACTGGGAGGTTTTCTCTGAAAGAGTTCTAAATTGCTGCAGCCTCCTCAGAGCGGAATCTCGGAACATCAGGGCTGCGGTGTATCATTCAGAGCCCCAGCAGCCTGGAAAAACTGCCTGGAGGGTTCTCACAGAATCTCAGAATGGCAGGGTTTGGAATCGCTGACTGCTGGGACCCGGGGACCTGAGAAGGTGCAGAGGCGCTGTCCTGCTGTGGGTGCGGGAGCCCGCCTGCCTGGGTTTGAACCCCAGCTCCCCGTTTGCTGGCTGTATAACCTAGGGCAAGATACTCGCCCTCTCTGTGCCTCCGGTTTTCTTGTTTATAAAGTGGTGATAATAATAGTGCTTATCTCATAGGGTTGCTGGGAGAATTCAATGAGTTTAGCACATGTAAAACACTTAAAGCTGTATAAATGCTAAATGTCTGCTTCTGTTCTGGTGAAGAGAGAGTGTTAGAATCCCTGACTTTAGGAAGATGGGCTCAGGGCCCCATGGGCCCCTGACACCGCTGAGCCTATGGATCCAGCCTCCTTATTTTCTGGATGGGCAAACACGAGGTGTGTCCAACAACACATACCTAGTGTGCGGCAGAGCCAGGCCTTGGACGTGGTCTCTTGGCTCCTGGCCATTCAGGGAACAATGAGGGGAAGTGGAACTTGTCAGACGAGAAAGCGTTGACAGGCAGGAGCACTGGTCCAGAGGAGGGCAGGGCTCGGAGGATGTGCTCGCGGGCTTCTAAGCACCGCAGGCGCATCCAGGGTTGGGATCTGGGGGCTGAGTGGGCATGGAGGGTGTTACTGGAAGGCAGCACCCCACTCCCTGAGGGAGAGCTTCTCCAACAAATTGGGAAGTCCAGGGCCATGGCTGTTTCAGGTAGGAAAAGGGGCTGGCAAGATGCTCACCTTCCTCAGAGGCCACGAGAAGAACTGCTGTTTGGGGACGCTGACGGTGCCGATGCAGGCCGTGCTGGTGGTCCTGGCGCTCAGAACCCCGGCTCCCGGATGCTGGGCCTCTCCCTGCTCAGCACCCCACAGCCTTCCCTCCTCTGCTTCTCCCATTTGATTTCCCCGCAGGGTGCGTGGTGGGTGAGAGTCTCCCTTCAGCACTTCCTGCCAACTCCTCCCCTCAGGGACTAAGCGATCAAGCCGGCCAGGCTCCTCTCTGGCCTCCACTGTCCGGTCTGTAGGATGGCAGGATAGGGCTGGGAGGTCTTTGGAATCTTACGGGGAAAAAATTACTATAATGTTCCCTTTTCTCTCTGAGCCAGCTCCCCACCCCTAATTCTCCAGAACTTTGCTTAATATGAGCTTGCTCTGTTCAGGAAGTTCCTTCAGAGAGGCTACAAAGGCCCCCCTGGGAAAGGGGCCCAGGGTCGCGGGCTCAGAAGGCAGCAGGAGCACCCCAGTGTCCACTCTGCCCCTCCCGGGACTGCAAACACTCCTCTCAGGCTTCCTGTTGCTGGGGGTGGGGGTCTGAGGTCCAGGCATCTTGGAGGGGGCTCAGACCCTTCAGTGTCCCTTAACCCCCAACCACTTCAGACTCAGTGAAGCCTTTGGAAAAGGTACCAAAAAAAAAAAAGATAATTAGGAGTGAATGTTTCAATGCAATCAGCCCAGAGTTCTGTGGCATGGGGAGGGGAGTGCCTGCTGGGAGACAGGAGGCTGAGGAGGTAAGGCTGGTGAGAGGTGAGGGGGTGGGGGCGTCTCTTGGGACATGAAGATCGAAGTTCATTCAGGGTAGCAAAGATTGGGGGTGAAATCTGCACTCCACCCCCACATCTGGTGGTGAGCCTGCCTCCTCCGCTGGGGCTGAGACATGAGTATGTGGCGGGGGGGGGGGCACTGGAATGGCAGCCAGACGGTCCGTGCTTGTCACAGTGCCCCGCACACAGTAGGGGCTCAGGGACTGCTGCCGGCCTTCCAGCCCCAAATCTCCACACACTGACACAGCGGTGGCCTTGAGAAAATTACTTCTCTTCTGGCCTCAGTCTCTTTTTCTAGAAAATGGGTGGGGTTGGGTACAGGGCACTTCCAGGGGTGTCCTCGGTGGCATGGGCTCCACCTGGAGATCAAGGCCAGGCTCCTGCCAGGCTGTGGTGGAGCCTGAGGTGCAGGTGGTGCCCAGTTCAGGGGCTGCTGCTCCAGGAAACCCTGGAGGGCTGGTCAACATGGCAGGTGTGAAGTGGAGGCAGGTCCCAAAGACAGATAAGGGCCCAGGGGAGAGGCAGAGGACGGGTGTGGGGAGGCAGGGTGCAGATGGGCCACAGGTGGTGAGTGAGGAGGTGACCGGCTACCCAGCCCCGCCTGCCAGGGCCCCTGCCACTCCTCAGCCTCGCAGATGCCCAGCTGCATCCTCCCGGGGTGTTTCGGGTTTCCTGCCTCCTCGTGCTTGACGAGCTCTCTCCTCTGCAAAGTCCTTCCCTGCCGTCTCCATCTCGACCAGCCCACACTTTGCTTCTTTTCCAAGGCCCAGATGGAGGCCCTGTAGGAGGTCTGCTGCATAGTTGCCTGGCACTAAGGAAAATCCAGTTTTCAGAAAAGGTGTCCAGGCCGTGGTCTGTCGTCTACAAGCAGAACCCTGGGCTGGGAGCTGGGGGGTCTGGCAGCCAGGACAACGTGGCTGCAATTACAATCCCATGTGCTCTCCGGGGCCTCAGGATGCACTTCCGTGAGGTGGCAGGATCAGACTCCGACATATGAGGGCAGGACCAGCTCTGGATTCCAAGAGCTGCAAAGGGCCTCAGGGGTGAATGGGAGAGAATCCCGGAGGTCTGCCTGGGCCAAGGGCTTTGCGGAAGGTTTCACCTCCCTCTTCTGGGCTCCCCACCTCTATCTCTCAGCCTGTTTCAGCCCCCAGCCGGCCACTCCCCTCTTCTTATTGTGCCTCCCGCCATCTTAAAGCCTCCGATTACTCACTGCTGAGTGCAGCAAAATCCAGGGCCTTTCAGCCGAAACAGAGACACCACCTGCGCCAGCCCCAGCTGGTGGTCTACCACCACTACCACCTAGAAGTTCCCAGGGCTCAGCCTTGAGGAGTTGCTTCCTTAGAGCTGGTCCCTTCTCACAGCGGAATCTGTCTATTCATCTGATTTGTCTCAAGGGACACAGGGAGTAGACTGTTCCCATTTCTGGAGTCTCTCACTCTGGGAGAGGGAGAGAAGGGGGAGCACCCCGGTCCTGGCCAGAATCAAACTTTGTCTCCGAGAGAGAGGGGAGGCCAGGGCAGGGTTGAGGCTGGGAGGAGGGGCACCGGAAAAGGGTGGGGGTCGGGCCGAAGAAGGGTCTCAGAAGAGTGAAACGTGGCCTGCACACCCAGCTGTCTCCGGGCCACCGACCCCACCAGCAGAAAGCCTTTCCGGCTGCTCTTGCCACTAAACAAATAGTTGTTAAAGGGACGGAACTGTCATAAAGTCCACACCCGTTCCTCTCTCCACTCTGCGCCCATCTGTCTTTATCTTCAGTGGGGCAGATCGTGACCACCCAGGCGCCCAGGGCTGAGTCATCAGCCTTCAACCTGGACAGCTGGCCCCCCCGGCAGGGGGAGTGCCCTCAGCCCCCACTATCCGCCCAGAGAGAGGAGAGGAGGGGGGCGTCAGGAGGGGAAAGGAGGCAGGTAGATAGGGGCTCTGAGTTGAGGAGAGAACGTGGACAAAGCCCCCACCCCCATCTGGGGCGGGGACAGCAGCTCTGGGAAAGGTACAGCGAGGAAAAGGACTCGAATGGGGGCAGGCTGAGGGCAGCACAGTCTGTCTGGGGCCAGGGGGTGCGGCTGGGCCAGCGAGGCCAGGATGTGGAGTGAGGTGCCAGGGCGTAGGACTCCCGAGGGTCTAGGATCCGTGGAGGCCCCGCCCAGCCTCCCCTCTGCTGTCCGGACCACTGAGACCGTGGAGCACTCACTGCTACTGAGTTTCCAGTCCATCAGATTCTTCCTGTGGAGTGAGAGTTTTTTCCCAGCAGCCAGCAATCAAACCTGACCTTTACCTTCCCCTGCTGAAGTGCCTCCCGGGTCTCCTACTGCCCTCAGGGTCAAGCCCAGCCCCTCAGGCCCCTGTTCCCCTCTGGTCTTGCTCCCTGCTGTCCAGCCACACCAGCTCCTTGCCATCGGACCGCCCCACTGCACACATCTTTCCTCTCCTCCAAACTTCTGCACATGCAGTTCCCTCCGCCGGCACCTTCCTTCCTGTCCGCCCTGTTAACCTCTGCAGGTCTTCCAGGGCGCAGCGCCGGCATACCCTCCTCCAGGAAACCTTCTCTGACCCCGCTTCCGTCCTGCACCTGGGTAGGCTGGGCGGACTCTTCCTCCCTTTGTCAGAGCTGCACTGCCTCGCCGGAGCGGGGTCTGCTTGTCAGTCCTTGTGTGACATGGGGACTCCGGGAGTCAGGCGTGTGATTTGCCTCCTTCTCACTCAGTTCTCGGTACCAAACCTGACCCAGAGGGACCCTGGGATAAACACTTCATGCAATGAAAGACTTCAAGCAGAGCGTTCCCATAAGTATTTAGTTGAAAAAACCTGGTCTGGCTCTATTATGGGGGATCGATTTAGGGACCAGACAGGAGGCAGGAAGCTAGGCTAGAAGCTGCCGCGGGGCCAGGGGAGAGGCGGCTCTGTGTGAGCGGGCAGTGGCTTGGGAATGGAACTCAGAGGAAAGTCGTGAGAGAGGCATGGGAGGCGGCTTGCTCATTGGCTGGGAGAGGTAAGGAGGGGGGAGGCAGTAGGACAGTTGTGGGCAGGCCGCAAGGGACCCGGCGGCTGGCTGGGCCACTTTGGGGGTATTGGTGGCAAGGGTACGTTTGGATTGGGACTGGGTGCCTTCAACAATCTCAGGGACATGCAGGGCAAGCCTCTAGGAGGGCTCTGGGTGTCTGGAGCTCATGAGAGGGGACACTGGAGAGTCATGAGGCCATTAACACAGAAGAAGGAGTTTTGTGCAGAAGAGAAGCTGAGGGTAGATTCCTTCATCAGGGTCCCTTTGGGGGAGAGAGGAGGTCGAGGCAGACCTGGGTCTGGCATGGGGGGGGGGTGGGGTCAGGCAGGGGGAGGATTGGAAGTGAAGGGCCGGGGCCAGTGGAATGAAGCTGCAGAGCCCACTGATCAGCAATGCAGGGACCAGCGCCACCTTGTGGCTGCCCAGTAGCCAGGTTGCCCCAGCCCGAGTAGCTGGTTAGAGTCCACAAAGAGGATCTGGATCAAGGTCACCAAGGCCAGCCCCTGGCCTTTAGGAAGTCCCAGCCTTTACTAATTCTGTCATCAGAAAACGTAGCTGCCATTGCCCGCCCCCCACCCTGGATTCCTTCTCCTTCCTGGGGCGACTGGCACGGTCACACCCCAGAACTGGAGCCCAGCACACCAGGACCTGTAATGGTCCAGGGCGTGAGGGCTGGAAGCTGGGAGACACCACTGGTTCTTAACAGATTCTGAACCAAGGGCCAAGAGCAAACACTTCCGGTTCAGAAGGCTACGTGACCTAACTGAGACGCCCAACTTTTTGGTCCCTGATTTCTCCAGCTGCTGTGGTCTCCTGGTTTGGAGACTTGCAGGCGGACGGCTCTCTTCTTTTCATCTGACCTTTGCTGGGCTCCCCTGAAGTGATCCCTGCCCCCCCCCCACACACAAGGGAGTCCCAGCACCCACCTCCCCACAGCCAAGCTTCTCTTTTAGCCAGGCCAGGAAATTCCTACAAACTCAATTAAGTGGAGGCAGTATGAGAAATGAGGAACTCAGGACAGTTAATCATCAGGACGTGACGTTTGGTGAAAAACCAGTCACTTAATGAAGCAGAAGGAGCCAGAGGCTGAGATGGGCTGGGGGGTGGCGTGTGCGGTGAGGGCAGAGAGAAACGCATCCTTCCCCACCCACCTCCTCTTCCCTCCACCGCACCTGTGCCTCCTCGACGTTCATGCCAGTTCCCTGTTGGAGGATCACACCCCCTTCGGTCTTCAGGAAGGTCAAGTATACCGGTTAGGAGTATGGCTTCTGATGCCAGCTGCCTGGGTTCAAATCCCGGATCTACCACTTATTAGCTGTGCAACCCTAGACAGGTTACTCAACTTTCTGGCACCTTAGTTCTTCCACCTGAAAATAGTGACAATGATGATAATATTTGAGTCAGAGGACTGTTGGGAATTCTGAGTTCATCTATGTAAGTTGCTTGGACTGTGCAAGGCCTAAAGAGAAAGTCTGATAAACTTTAGTTATGGCGGTTATCTGGGAGGCTCAGAGAGGGCAGGCCGCTTGCCCAAGGTCAAGTAGTAGCCACGGTCAGATTTAACCCAGGCAGCCTAGCTCCATGCTCTTGCTTCCCGTGCTCCAGGGATGTCGGCGGGCTCTTGAGGTCCCTTTCACATGTCTACTAGCAAGAGGCACTGGAGGCCAGGCGATGGCTGACTAGGGTCCCTGACTCTTGTCTTTGTCCTCCTCACGTCCCCTGCAGCAGGTCAGCTTGTCCAGATGGTTGCAGTTGTGCAGGGGCCAGCCTGCTGTGTGTCCCTGCGCCAGGGCTTGTTCTCTTTGACCCAGGGGCTGACACGCAGGGTCACGTCCTTTTTTCAGAGAGGCTCTGATCTCCCGGAAGCGGCTGGGCTGCAATGGACTGGGCCCCTCGGACCTGCCCGGGAAGCCTTTGGCCAAGTTGGTGGCCCCACTGGCTCCGGACACCCAAGGTAAGGGCTGGGAGCTGGGCAGGGGCAGGGAGGGACTGTGGCCCCCGCTCCCCAGACCGCGTCTGTCTCCTGCTTTCATCTGTCCGTCTCCTTCTTTCTTTCGCTCTGTGTCTGTAGCAACCCCTCCATCTAATTCTCTCTCTGTTGTGCTACTAACCGCTGAGCCTCAGTTTCCTGGCCTGTAAAACGGGGACAGCAGAACCTACCTTGAGGGGGTGTGGCGAAGAGGAGCGGATAAGATAACGCATGTTAAGGGCCTGCCACATACTAGGGCTTGGTGGCCGGTGGCCGCCGTGATGACGTGTTTGTGCCCGTTGCTAGATGGGCGTAGCTGTTGTCATGCTCTCTCTGTCACTGTCTCTGTTTGTCTTCCCCTTCCTGTCCGTGCCTCTGTCCGCCACGTCTCTCCGCCTCGTGTCGCAGTCTCTCCAGGTCTCTGTCCTCTGTTTCGCTGTGGAAAGTGCACAAGACTGGGAGGCAGGAGACCTGACTTGTTGTGTGATCTTGGGCAAGTCACCTCCCCGCTCTGGACTTCAGTTTCCCAATCTGTAAAATAGGGGCGCTCGCCTGGCCTGCCTCCCTCCCTCTCAGGGTCGCTGGGAGGATTTGGAGACGGTTGTCAAGTGAGGGGGTTTCCTGCCGCGTTAGGGGGTCTTCATCATGTTTGTTTCCGTGGCTGCCTCAGGATGCCCCTTCGTTTCTCTGGGTCTCTGGGTCCCTCTGTGTCTCTGTCCCAGCCTCTCTCCGTCTGTGTCTTTGTCTCCCTCCCGGGTCCTGGCTCAGTATCTCTGAGCCCCACTGGCCCCGCAGGACCACCTCATTGCCCTCTCCCCTTCAGTGCTGGTCACGCCGCTGGTGGACAAGGAGGCTGGGGCTGTGGCAGCGGTCATCTTGGTAAGAGCCCCGGTGGTGTGAGATGGGGGAGGGAGCAATGAATGGAGTCCTGCGTTTGTGTGTGTGTGTGTGTGTTGAGAGCAGCAGGCTGGGCTGGAGCTGTAAAAATGGGGCCTGGGGGAAGTCTGGGGCTCCTTGCACACCACCCCCTCTGCCCCGCCATGAGTGGGCGGGACCAAGCCGCTGGGCTCTATCCCTATCCAGGCTCTTCTCCCGCATGGAGGGGACATCACAGTCTTCTTCCTGTCCTGGGGACAGAAGGGTTAGCACCCCTAAACAGCATGACTTCAGTAAGGAGCCGACCTGGGCTGCAGACAGATTGCATGAGCTGCCCTCGGTGCACCCAGGGCTCCCCCAAGCTCATTAAAACAGGATGAAAGCTTTCTGAGGCTGCTGGCCTTTCCGGAGCTGCTGGAGGGGAGGCCGAGGGCAGTGGATGGGGGGCGCCATGGGGAGAGGAGGGGGGAAGACAGGAAGGAAGGGGTATCTGGCTTGGTCTCCTCAGTGTCCCATCTGCCTGACCGAGGGAGACGCGGCCCCCTTGGTTCCTCCTGCCGCCCAGCTTCCGTTCCCACAGGGAACAGATCTGCTGTCGGCAGAGTCCTGAGCACAGTGCCCCTCCCTCCCTGGGTTCCCATCCGTGCCAGAGCTGGTCTCTTCAGAGAGGACGGGGCTCGGGACAATGGGCAGAAGTGGAGGTGGGAGGCGGTGGCTTGGGTCACCTGCCTTTTACTGGGGAAAAGGAGTCTGGGGTGTCAGGTTTCTGAGAAGGACTTCCCGTGTTGGGGCTGTGAGAACTGGGTCAGAAGAGAAGCGACCCCACCAAGGGGAGGACGTCTGGAAGGCTGTTCAATTTGTGGGCGAGGGATGGTTCCGTGACTGCCTTCCACCGTGGCTCAGGCTGGGCCGGGAGTCCAGGCTCTAGCCTTCCAACCCGGGGAAGAGAGGCCTGTGTGTAGGTGTGTGTTGTGTTGAGTTTAACCCACTCTAGCAAAACCCTGCTCCGGGCCCCGCGCCAGGCTGTGTGCTGGGCAGGGAGAGGAGTCAGACCCAGGTCTGCCTTCTAGACTTTCTCGGCCCGGAGGAAGCAGGAGCCGCCTTGACCCCTACTGGCCAAAGGAAACAAACGCAGGCGCTCTGCTGGGAGAGGCTGGAGGGCAGCGAGTGCCTGACAGTTGGAGAGAGAGCGTCTGCGTAGGCGCTGGGCCAGGGGTAGGAGGTCGCAGGGCAGAGGAGGGACGTGACCTTTTAGACAGAGGGACGAGCATGAGCAAAGCAGGTGGGGAGACGGGTGCTGGGGTGTTGGGGGAAGGGTGTGATGCCGGGGAGGCTGAGGCACGGGGTGCCTGCTGGTGAGCGAGATGCTGCCTGGGACTTCGGCTCCCAGGAGATGCTCCCCCAAACTGTCTTTCACCTCCCCGAACACCCCTGGCAGTGAAGAGCTCTTGAAAGGTATTTGGATTATTCACAGTCTGCCTCTTCTCCATCCTACGCAAGCAGAGAAGCACTTCTCCATGACACCCCTCTCCCCAGTGCATACACGCCTGACGGACCCTGTCCTGCTGCTCGGCCCTGGTGCTCCTGGGCCACAGGCCCTCACATCCTCCGAGACACAGCACAGGCAGCCTCGAACCTCCCAGCCGTGACCTCATCCCAAAGGCAGAGGGTGCACAGGGTACAGGGGGTGTACGGGGCAGATGTTTTGGGAGGGCTGACTCACTGGCTCCTTCCTTAACAAGTCCCATTCCCCTCTCTGAGTCTCTGCTCTTGATAATCACCCATCCACCATCCCTCAATCAAAGGCATATTTCTCGAGCGCTGCCAGGTGCTGTGTGCGAGGTGCTTCAAACGCAGCAGTGATGGAGACAGACCAAGCAGACCCTGCTTCCACGGACCAAGTCTGCAGGGCTCGAAGAGACAGACAAACAAGGGGGCCAAGTCAGGGTGGAATTGCAAATGATGGCAAATGCAAGCCAGGAAACCAGGAATTGCTGCGAGGAATAGCGGGGCCTGGCTGTGTGGTCGACGGCAGGCTGTCTGAGAGGCAGGCCGTCCGAGGGCAGGACCGCCTGGGCGGTCCTGGGCTCTGCAGCCCGAGGCCCCGGGCACCTTGATCGCAGATTTTCTGGGTGAGGAACAGAGTCTCTGGCTCTGTTCTTCAGTTCTGGGATAATAAGTCCCTTTGAGAAGTGGGCGGCACTTGGTCTCTGGCATTTGATGCATGATGTGCGCCCACGCTTCCCCCAGCTGTGCCAGCCACGCCAGCTCCTTACATGGGGATGAGCCACATTGAACTTGGTGAGGATGAGGGGTACAGGGGCCGTGCTGGGTTCTCAACCCTTTCTACAGCCCCAGTGCTCACCGCTGAATGTTACCAGCAGGCTCCAGACAAGCTCCCTGATTAGCGAGAGTGGGTGCAGGTGCCTGTTTCCGTTGCTGAGCAAAAGCGATGTGTGAGTGTCGGTTGCATCTGGGGGGTGGGGAGCAGAATTCCTGCGTGGCTCTTAGGTATGCAAACTCCAATAGCCCGTGGACAGTTATGAATGTGCGCGTGTGGGTGGTACAGGAACTGTGGGTGTGGTGTTGGTGTGTGGGTGTCTGAGTTGGTGGCTGAACCGCATGTATATTTGTGTGTATGTGTGTACACACCTGTGCATCTCCGTGGGAGAATGAGCATGAATATGTGGGTGTGTGGTGGGGGCCCTGGAGGTCATTATGAGAGAGTGCACCGTGTTTGTGCACCTGCTGGGGCGGGGAAGGGGTGAGGCAGCCCAGGAGTGCGTGCTGGGGTGGGTGAGGCCGGGGGTGGAGGGCTCCGCAGTTCCTTCTTTTCTCCTGGCCTCCGAGGTGCCTGTTCAGTTTCCCAGCTCTATAGGGGACCGAGCTGTTTCGGTAGGCCAGGAACTGGGTGCCCCTGTAGGCTTGGGGGGGTTCCAACCTTCCCTTTTCCTAAGAGACAGGTCCAAGCAGACAGAACAAATAGGTGTCCTCCCCCGTCTCCAAACAGTGTGCATGGGAGCCTCACGCGGATGAGCGGTGCTGCAGCCCCTTTCGGGTCCCCACCCCTTGGGAGTCGTAGACACGGCCTCAGGTCTTTCTGCCTCCAGTGTCGCTCCCTCCAATTCCCCTTACACCCCATAGGTCATGGCCCTCAAACTAAAGGCCAATTCCTTGGCCGGGCACTCAAGGCCCTCCCTCCTGGGGCACTGCAGACCCCACTCCTGCCTCATCCTCACTTCCCGGTACCCACTCCTACCCAGCACCGCCAGGACAGCTCCTGCCTGCAGTGCCCCCTCCTCAGGCTCTTCTCGTCCTCCCCGTGCTTCAGTGCCAGCTCTGCAGGCCTCTCGGGTGCCCTCCTGCTCTGAGCTCCCACAGTCTCTAAGTTCCAATCCACCCAGTCCGCCTGCTCCTTCTCCCTCGGGTATGAGGTTCTGTACCCCTCAGCACGTCCCCCATCCCGCACAGCCAGATGTGAGCTTCCTGGGAGCCGGCTGATCTCCTCTTCTCCATCTGCTCCTGGCGAGGGGCCTGGAGAGAGGCAGGCAGGCATCTGCTGAGTGGGAAGGGAGGAAGAAGAAGGGCACCCCAGTGCAGTCACCGTGGGGTGCCCCACAGGTGGTGAGCAGCTCTGGGCATGCGCCAGGAGAAGCTGGTGACGCAGGTGGAGTTTTGCTGGCAGGGCCTCCTTTTGCTTAGCAGGTCCCTGACTGCTACCCCTTCCTCTCACCCTCCCATTTTCTGTGTCAAGCACCTGAGCAGGCTTTGGGGAAAGGACTTCACTGAGTATGAAAGAGGGGCTGGGAGACTTCTGGTAGCTGACACAGGGAAGTCAGGGAGGGACAGGTGCATATGGGTGGTGATGAGATTCGGTCTAGAAAGGGGAAGGTTGGGCAGAGAAGGTAAAAGAGGGTTGGCACTGTCCTGACTCAGCCACTCAGCCTTTCTGGGCCTTGGTTTATCTGCACAGTGAAAGCCTGCCCTACTGGGTGGTGAGAATCCCATGGAAGGCAAAGCACTTTATTTCTCCATTCATTCATTCATTTGCTCACCCTCTCAAGTTCTGAAGGCACAGCAGATGCACCATAAATGTCGGGCCTCTTTGCTAACCCGTACTCGTACCCGGGAACAGCTCAAACCCTGACTCAGAACGGATGGAAATGGAAGGCGGAGGCTAACAGTGCTGATTCCATGGCCAGGTCCTGCAGGCCCCACAGGCTGGGGGATGAAGAGGAGTCCCGGGTCACCCCCTTCCCTCACTACATACCCGAATCACGCCGTTATGGAAAAGTGACTGAAAAGGCAGCCGTCAGGGAAGTCCCACTTTTATTGGATTAGCCCTAGAAGGCTTCCTGGAGAGGCGGATATTTTTCTGGGCTCATGTGCTTGGCCAGAAGGACAGGTTATCAATGAAGCCCACAGACTGAAGTATGCGTGCGTTGGTGGGGACATGTGTGTGCCAGGCATGGGGAGGGTCCTCTGGCAGAGAGAGGAGGCTGGGGAAGGTCACTGCTAGTCCCTCTCCCACATGCCTCCAGGTGCACTGTGGCCAACTGAGTGAAAATGAGGAGCGGAGCCTCCAAGCCGTGGAGAAGCACGTGAGTGGGGGTAGGGCTGGGGTAGGGTGGGGCTGCTGAAGACCCTCAGGCACAGTGGGTGAGCAGGTGGTCAGGGAGCTGGGGAGACCGGGGTTTCGCTGCACCACCTTCTGGCTGTGTGACTTGGAGCAAGTCACTTAACCTCTCTGAGCACCAGTTTCACACCTGAAAATGAGGATAAGAAAAGCACTGACCTACTTAGGGTACTGGTGAGATAAGGCCAGTCACGCATCTTGTCAGTACATAGGAAGGACTACCTACATGATGATACTGAGACTCTTTTCTGAGATTTTATGTTGGGACTTTAACAAGGACTTAGGATTCCGTGGCTAGAGACACAGAGAAATCTGACCCTGGCCTCTCTCTGAAGAGTCTGGGGCTCGGGGTGGAGACAAACCCTGTACCTGTGTGTTCACGGAGGGAGGGACACCCCAGAGGCAGCGGGAGCCCACGGGCGGGTGGAGCGCTGAGGGAGGATTGTTTGGGACGGAGGTGGGGGCGATGAGCACCGCTGGCACAGGAAATGGCTTGAGCAAAGGCGACGGGTCTTGAGGTGGCGACGGGGTGAAGGTGGGGCGAGTGGGTAGCTGATCGCTTGGCCCTACCTAGACCCTGGTGGCCCTGCGACGGGTGCAGGCGCTGCAGCAGCGCGGGCCCGGACTGACCCCCGAAGCTGTCCAGAACCCCCCGGCGGGAGACCACGAGGGCGGGGTTGCATACACCCACCAGGACCGAAAGATCCTGCAACTGTGCGGTGAGGATTCAGCAGAGCCGGTCCGGGGGGCGGGGCAGAGTCGAACTTGGAGGGGTGGGGCCTACGTGGTGGGCCTTGGAGATGGGGCGGGGCCGGGGGAGGGCCCGGGTAGATCGACCGCAGCACCCGCAGGTGGAGCGGGTGGTGGCGCAGGCTTGGCTGAGTCTAAAGGCCCTCCCTCTAATCCGCGCCCTGTCGTTTCAGGGGAACTCTACGACCTGGATGCCTCTTCGCTGCAGCTCAAAGTCCTCCAATACGTGAGTTCCTAGGCCCCTTCCCCTGTGCACCTAGGTCTTCTAGAGCTCTCCGCCTCAGTTCAGATTCCGACGTCCCGCCCCTCTTCTCCACCTACCGGAGGAGCCTCAGAGGGGCGCGAGGGTGGGGAGTGCGGGTGGCCCAGATCCGCGGTCAGCGTCTCCCTCTGTGCCTCCCTTCCAGCTGCAGCAGGAGACTCAGGCATCCTGCTGCTGCCTCCTGCTGGTGTCCGAGGACAATCTCCAGCTGTCCTGTAAGGTGAGGGCCCGGGCCCGGGCCCGCGGTGGGGCCGGGAGAGGGCCCGGGGTCTCCTTGGGGAAAAACCTTGTTTATCCTTTAACGGGTCGCTGCCCCTCTGCCCTCAGGTCATCGGAGATAAAGTGCTGGGGGAAGAGATCAGCTTTCCGGTGAGTCCTGTGTCGCCCTCTGTGTCGGAGTCCGCAGGAGCAGTGAAGGCGAGCTAGGCACATCTGGGATCTGCCCGGGCCGACTGGGATCTGCTAGACTCTCTGGGACCCTGAGGGGATTATCTGGATCTTGGGATCTACTTAGAAATGTCATGAGAGCTTGCGACCTTTCCTGATTAGGATTCACTAGGAGAACTCTCACACGATCTACAGAAAGGTTTACTTGGGGCCAGGTCACTTCTGTTGGGGTGTTTCTGGATTTGGCTCTGGTAGAAGCCATTGAGATCAATGAGAATCTGGAGCCTGCTTTTCTCTCTCCCAGTTGGGGAGACCCTAAAGTCTCCCATAGGGCATTCTGGTCAGGAGGAGAACACCGTGCCCCCTTTCTCAGTGTTGACTCCATCCGCCATCTGGACTGACTTAAAAGACCATGGAACTTCCAGACTTTGGGGTGAGGGATGGGGTCTGAGATTGCCTGACCTCCAGCCAGGCTGTACCCTGACTCAGCCTCCCCTTACTCTGCAGTTGACCATGGGACGCCTGGGCAAGGTGGTGGAAGACAAGGAATCTATCCAGCGGAAAGATCTCACCTCAGTAAGCTATGGCCTGGCTGGACCAGGGCTGGAGGCAAAGGGAGAGCATCCTGTCCAGTCCTCAGGGCCACTATCTCTGGGTCAGGGCAGTCTGGGGATGCTGGAGACAAGGCCGGGGGACTTTCTCCCAATCTGCCCCAAGTCATACTACTTCCCACCCTGCAGGAGTCCCGAGAGCCACTGCTGCAGAGTGTGGGGGAAGGGCTGGGGGAAGGAGGGGTCTTCTCTCGCTCCTCCCCTGCCCTGAATTGCCTTCCCTTTGCAGGAGGATGTGCAGCAGCTACAAAGCATGATAGGCTGTGAGCTGCAGACCATGCTGTGTGTCCCCGTCATCAGCCGGGCCACAGACCAGGTGGTGGCCTTGGCCTGTGCCTTCAACAAGCTCGGAGGAGACTTGTGAGTCTGGGTGGGGTGATGTGGGTCAGGAGGTGAGCCGAGAGCCTGGCCAGGGTTCTACTAGGGTAACAGTGCTGGAAGGGTACTTGAAGGGGGTGCTATTCCAGCGGAGGGGACTGAATGGTTTGTCATTGCAGAAGATCATGGAATTATGGGTGTGCTAGGCCTTTGCAGCTGCTGCAGCTGAGGCACAGCTAATTATTGATTCTCCATCACCCATTTTCACTTATGTAAAATCATGTTGAGGTCCCCATGAGCTCCCCTTCTTTTTTCCTATTTTCTGAGGTTGGATATTGGTTTTCCCCCCACTCGCCATCCCCTGTTTTGGCATTTCTGCTGGGAACTCCCTGACAGAGGGGCAGTGAGCTCTGGGGTGGGTGAACTCTCTGGGACCTGCAGAGCAGGGCACTGATAGAGAGGACAATGGAGGAAGGGAATACAGGCTTGCGGGCTGGGCTGAACTGAGGGCCTTTATAGGTACCAACAGAGCAGCTGTGAGAATAAAAAAGAAATGAAGTGGTGGGCAGGATGCAGTGTCAGGTAAAGAAGTTTAGTTAGGAAGAATATCTCAAGAACTGAGTTCAGATTTGAGGTCCAGGAGTTGTACCAGAGATTTCATGTCCTGTACCGATTCACTAATTGGCAGTAACTGCCTGCCTGAAGCATTGTGTCGAGACTGGATCTTAGTACTATGATCGATTAGCTATGTCTGTCCTGGAAGTAGGGTCAGGATGCAAATGTTGCCACTCTTGGTCCAGCAGGTCTAGCAGTTTGGGCAGAGTCCTACAGGAAGGGAGGAGCAGCAGGTGAAGGGTTGAGTCTGGATTCCAGGATGCAGAGTAATGCTGACGAGATGCTGGGCCCCCGAGACTCAAACAAACAGGCTGGGTTTGAGGGCCTGGGGCCCCTGCAGGAAGTGGACCCCGGGAACATTAGGACCAGAGAGGTGTCAGAGGCCCAGGAGTGGAGTCTGCAAGGGTGGCAGAGATCTGGGGGTTGCAGGTCTGTGTAGCAGGATGTTCCAACATGGAACTCTGCAGGCAGCTGGTGGACCTGGGGAAATAAAGAGAGTGAGGTGATGTGGGATCTGTCACTCAGAACGGGTGGGCCTCCTAGTGGTGGGAGAGTTTATGCCATTCAGTAAACACACACTGAGTACCCACCGTGTCCACCTGTGTGCTCACCAGGTGGCCTTGGAAGGGCCTTTCAGGAGTACAGAGCAAGTGAGGGTCTGAGGGGGGCAGCGACCTCTGTCTGCTGGTTGTAGGACTGGGTTCGAGACCTAGACCTAGACCTAGAGGAGAGGTGGTATCAGAAAGCAAATGAGATGGGGCCTTGGTGACAGCCCTGAGGCCCAGAACAAGGGCAGGGCCATCTCTGGGCTCCACATATCTCAGGAAGTGGGTGCTGAGTGTACGAGCCAAGGTGGGGCTCAGCTCAAAGCACTGACTGCAGAGAAGCAGCCTGGAATTTGGGGAACAGGGACTCCGGAATCCCTTCAGCTGGAGGTGTGGTGGGCTGGTGGCAAGGGCAGAGGGAGAGTACAGTTAGTCACTGAGCAAACGCTCCCCAAATATCTCCTCTGAACCAGGCTCTGCACTGGGCACGGGGTGATGCAGTTGTGGTTCCTGCCTTCAAGATTTAAAGTTTATCTCAGGGTATAGATGGAAGTGGGCAGGGAGGTATTGTAGGCAGAGTAGGCAGTGTGGGGGAAGCATGAAGGTGTGAAGGAGCCAGAGGTCTTCTCAGGATGGTGAGGGTTTTAGTACGGATGAAGCTGAGAGATGCCCAAAGATGAGGGGAGAGTGGGGGGAAGCAGGACAGTGACGAGAGCTGGACAAGACAGGGCAATGCCACCCCATCCCTGAGCCTGGAGGGGCCTTTGGGGAGGAGCAGGGGAACACCCAACTCTGGCCTGGCCAAGTCTCCAGACCAAGCGGGGAGGCCCAGCCTCAGTCTGGGTAAATCTGAAGTCAGAGGACGGGGCCGGGGGTTGGGGGGCACATGGCTGGGCTTCTAGAAGGGATAGCCAGAGGAGGAGAACACATTTTATTCTGAGGAGAATGAGAACTCCCCCTTCAGGGGGCCTCCATCTGAGGGAGCTGCCTCAAGCCACCTGTGCGGTGATCGGCCCCGGTGGAGGGGAGGGGGGTTAGCTGGTGGACCTCTGAGTGGGCTTCCTGGACGAATGGATGTGAGGAGAAATGGGGAGAGAGGTCTGTCATTGGCCCCCTCTCTGATGACCTTGCCTCCCTGGCCCAGATTCACGGACCAGGACAAGCATGTGATCGAGCACTGCTTTCACTACACCAGCACGGTGCTCACCAGCACCCTGGCATTCCAGAAGGAGCAGAAGCTCAAGTGTGAGTGCCAGGTGAGTGACCTTCCTGGCACCTCTCTCGGGGACCAAGACACCCAGCTCTCAGCCCCAGAGAGTCATCCGCAAAGGAAGAGCCCATGTGTATCTGGACACAGGCAGGGGGATTACAGAGTTGCCCTGGAGGCCTTTCAAAGAACGAGGTCACCAGTTCCTCAGGTGGGCCACTGGTTGCAGGCGCTGTATGTGGTCACCCTCTAGTGTTCAACTTGGGTACTACAGCAACATCTGGATGGCTGGAGCTAGAGGTGAAAGCACATCTGAGATTTTATCTAGATTTCTATACACTTTCATTGGGGTAATTCCTGCCACTCCTTCACTTAGCAGCCAAATGACATATTTGATTAGACTCTGCCAATCTCCAGTAAGTGCAGAGAAGCTCCTGGAGATGTTGGAGGCAGGGAGGTTGGAGAGGATTGCTTTCTGTAACCTGAACTTCTATGATCTCTATTTTCTCCATCCCAGGCTCTTCTCCAAGTGGCAAAGAACCTCTTCACTCACCTAGGTGAGTGCACTGTCCTCCTCCATGCGTGGCTGTGGGATGTGAGTGGGGCTGGAGTTTGGAGAGGAGAGGTGGGAGGGCTTGGCCGTGGCATCTGGGCCAGTCTCATGACTGCCCCCCACGCCTCTCCCTCACAGATGATGTCTCTGTCCTGCTCCAGGAGATCATCACAGAGGCCAGAAACCTCAGCAATGCTGAGATGTGAGTGAATTTACCCCTGGGAGGGGAGAGGAGGCCCCAGGCCTCAGTCCTCATCCTCTCCTTTCTCCCTTCTTTTCCCCCTCCACTGCCTTCTCGTGGGACCCCGTCACATTTTGTGCGGTCCTTTACTTCATGGCTGTGACCACCAATAGTCTGTGATGTCCAGTGACAGCAGGGGCAGGGCTTGCTTTGCTGGCCAGGGGTCCTCATCTCCTAATACAGTGCATGGCACAAAATAGGCCCTACAAAAAGAAAAAAAAAAACAACTTTGGTCTAGACTAATGTCTGGAGTCAGTCAGCCCTGAGGAGAGTTCAGCATGGATCACTCTCTCCTGGCCTCGGAAATCCGGGCTTGCCTCAAGTTGTGAGAAGTGGGGGTGGTGGGAGAGGGGTGTCAGGGCCCTGTGGACCAAAGCCATCTCCCCACAGTTGCTCCGTGTTCCTGCTGGACCAGAATGAGCTGGTCGCCAAGGTGTTCGACGGGGGCGTGGTGGAGGACGAGGTGAGGCGGGTCGCGAGGAGAGAATGTTGCTGCGGTCCTAGGGGTGTGATGTCCTCAGGGACGCCCGGGAGCAGCCTGGAGAGTGGCCCTCTCTGAGGCCAGCCGCTAACTTTCCCCCCAACCCATGCCTGTCCCCGCAGAGCTATGAGATCCGCATCCCCGCTGACCAGGGCATAGCGGGCCACGTGGCGACTACGGGCCAGATCCTGAACATCCCGGATGCATACGCACACCCGCTTTTCTATCGTGGTGTGGACGACAGCACCGGTTTCCGCACGCGCAACATCCTCTGCTTCCCCATCAAAAATGAGAATCAGGGTACGGATCCCCTGCAAAGAGGCGGGGCGGGGCCAGGCCAGGGCGGGGCCTGAGCAGGATGGGGCGGGGCCAAGCAGCACGGGTTGGGTTGGCAGTCCTTCCTCACCGCTCTAGCCGTGCCCTAGCAGAAGACGCAGGTTTCCCAGAAGTGGGGGCATTCCTTGAGGACACCCTGTGGTAGCAGATCCCCACCAGACACATCCACCGGCCGGTCCTGGCCTCTCTCCCGCCCCTAGAGGTCATCGGTGTGGCCGAGCTGGTGAACAAGATCAACGGACCATGGTTCAGCAAGTTCGACGAGGACCTGGCCACGGCCTTCTCCATCTACTGCGGCATCAGCATCGCCCATGTGAGTGGGGCCAGGGGCGGGGCCAGGACCCTCTGCCCTTCTGGCCACATAGGCTCTCCTTGCTCTGACCTACCTGGGCCTCAGAGCCTTGCTGCTGGGTGAGCTTCTGTACCAGTGATCACTTCTGGCCTCAGTTTCCCATCTGAAAATTTACTCTTTCGTGTCCTATCCTGTTAGCAACCCAGGAAGGACCATGGGAAACCCCAGGTGTCATTATTCACCTGACCCACCCCCACCTTCCTCTGGAAGCAACCTCAAATCAAGCCCCAGGTCAGCTTCTTTTTGAGAAACCTTAGGTCTTGTTGTCTATGGCTGGCAGCTCTGCCACGGGACTCCAACCCATTGGTCCCTGACACCACCTCCCCTTTTGTTTCTGTTCCTCTGCTGTGAGCCTCGGGCTCCATCACTGAAGACCGGGGCAGACCCGGGAGGGGAGGCAAAGTGCCAGATCAAATGCCAGGAGATCCCAGGGGAAGAGCGAGGGGACGTCTAGGTGAAGGTTGGAGGGGGGGGTCCATACCTGGGGCTGGAGCTGGAAGGCTCAGACTAGGGCCAGCTCAGGCGGTTCTGTCTGACCTTTTTGTCCAGCCCTGGGTATTCTGAGGTTTGACAGCCATCTTGCTTGAGCTCCATTCTTCCCCTTTCTCCCCCCAGTCTCTCCTTTACAAGAAAGTGAATGAGGCCCAATATCGCAGCCACCTTGCCAATGAGATGATGATGTACCACATGAAGGTGAGGCTTGCACGGAGCTCTGTCCTCTTCTCCAGGGTCTCAAGGTCCTGTGCCTCCTTGGATCCTCATGGGCCCAGGACCAGGCAGTGCTTTCTGATCATCCTCTCTTGAAGATGAGAAGGTAGACCCAGCGCCATGCCTGGACTCCAGCTCTAGGCACGCTGTGGGTCAGCCCCTGGGCTGGCTGGCAATAGGGCCCAGCCCAAGGAAGAACCTGGTTCGGCCAGGTGTCCCCTATGCGCAGGGATAGTTCCCACCTTGGGAATGACTGAAGGCTGAGATGCACGCTCAGGGCCCTGGCCGCAGCTCCCTGAGGTACAGTGGTCCTGCAGTGCTGTGAAGTCCTAACTCTGACATTCCATCCCTTCCTTGGACCCCGTGTCAGCACAGCTGCCCCAGGCTTTAGTTCGGAGTATGTGCTGGTCATCATTGATTTGAACATTTACATGCACCTGTGTCTAAACCAAAGGGTCCCAGGCTTTGTGGATTCAGTCAGATCTGTAGTAGGAAGGACTGAGATGCATGCCACCTCCCAATAAAGAATCTCCCAGTTAGTGTCTAGGAAAGGCTGCTATGGTTTGGGGGGGTCACAAAAGGGCGTCTTCTGTCTCTGCCGAGGATAGGCTGTTACAGACAAGGACGGTCACAGGCAAGCAGGCACAGTAGGTGGGCTGCAGGACTGTGAGGAGAGGGTGGTGACCGACTGCTCAGTGACAATCCATGGACTGGATGGTCACCTGGACACTCTCTGGGCGAGGGACCACCTCACCCAGAATTTGAGGGCAAGGACACTGGATGGGTGGAGGTCATCTTCTAATACCCAGGCTGGTCCCCGCAGGTCTCTGATGACGAATACACCAAACTTCTCCATGACGGGATCCAGCCTGTGGCCTCCATTGACTCCAACTTCGCCAGTTTCACCTACACCCCTCGCTCTCTTCCTGAGGATGACACTTCCATGGTGAGCTGCGTCCCCGACCATGGAGACAGAGGGTGTACAGGCAGAGATTTAATTTAAATGTGCACAGGAACTTCCTGCTAGCAAGACAGAGTCATCAAGAAAGGCTACAGCTTCTCCCTTAGGGAGGAGTGAGCATGCGGTCTGCCAGCATGGGTCATGGGGCCTGCCCAGGGGACACGGGCTGGCTGGGTGATTGCTGAGGATTGCTCCGGCCTGTGGCCCCAGGGTCAGCACCTACTCCCTGTGTTTCAGAGAATTTATGTGAGCTTGGTTCCAAGAGTTCTTAGATCCCATCTTTCTAAAAGTTGTTGGCTCTGAGAATGCTTGGTACTGCCATCTGATGGTTCTCTGGTACAGATCTAATAATCTAAGATTCCAAAATTTTGTAGGCATCAAGAAGGGCCAAAGCCACCATAAACAGATCAACAAACAAGTGCTGGCGAGGTTGTGGAGAGAAGGGAACCCTAGTACACTGTTGGTGGGAATTCCACTGGTGCAGCCACTGTGGGAAACAGTATAGAATTTCCTCAGAAAACTAATAATGGAACTGCCTTTTGACCAGCAATTCCACTGCTGGGATTATACCTAAGAACCCTGAAACACTAATTCGAAAGAACCTATGCACCCCAGTGTTCATAGCAGCACAATTTACAATAGCCAAGTGCTGGAAGCAACCTAAGTGCCCATTAGTAAATGAGTGAGTTAAAAAAACTGTGGTACATTTACATGATGGAATTCTATGAAGCATGAATAAAGTAGGAGCTCCTACCCTTTGCAACAGCATGGATGGAACTGAAGAGCATTATGCTGAGTGAAATAAGCCAGGCAGGAAAGACAAATACCATATGATCTCACCTTTAACAGGAACCTAATCAACAAACAAGCAAGCAAAATATAACCTGAGACACTGAAATTAAAAAAAAAACTGACAATAACCAGAGGCAGGGGGAGGGGATAACAGGAGAAAGGAGGGGAAGGGTTGTCAAGGAACATGTATAAAGGACCTATGGACAAAGCCAAAGGTGGGGAGGACTGAGGGTGGGAGGTGGGGTGGGTGGGGCGGAGGGGAGTGGTAGTGGGAAAATGGAGACAACGATTTGAACAACAATTTAAACATTGCATTAACTCTACTTTTAGAAAAAACAAATATTAAAAAAATAAACTTAAAAGTCAAAAAACAAATAATAAAGATGCACAAGAAGGCATTTTAATTATAATGCTCAATATAAGTGTAAAGTTAAAAATAATTTTGCATGATTTTTCAAATTGACTCCTGTAAGATTATGGAGCTATTAAAATGCTGCTTATTGTAAAAGAACAAAGACAAACAACAACGAAGAAGGGCCAAAGCAGGGGTCCTGTCTTGAAACTGACAATCCCTCTGACCTCTCCCTTCTGCCCCCTGCAGGCCGTCCTGAGCATGCTGCAGGACATGAATTTCATCAACAGCTACAAAATTGACTGCCCGACCCTGGCCCGGTGTGTGTCCCCTCCCCTCAGTGTGCAGGCAGCCCCATCTCTGCCTCCCTCTGTCCTGGAATCTCACATCCATTCCCCAGCCTACTGGGGAGGGCTGTCTCTGGGCCAACGAGGGGAGACTCAGTCTTGAGCGGGTGGGGAGGATCCATGAGCACGAGGCCATTCCTAGACACGGGGACGTGAGAAAAGGAGAGGAATGGGGAAGCACAAAGCCTGAAGGGCTACCTGGAGGAGGAGAGCCTGAGGCCTGTCTGCTGCCCTCTCCCCTCCCCCAGGTTCTGCCTGATGGTGAAGAAGGGCTACCGGGACCCACCCTACCACAACTGGATGCACGCCTTCTCTGTCTCTCACTTCTGCTACCTGCTCTACAAGAACCTGGAGCTCACCAACTACCTCGAGTGAGTGGGTGCCCTGCCCCCCAACTGGGCTCCCCTGCCGTGGGACAGGGAGACACCTCCTCTGGGTCAGGGGCTTTACCTGTACCACCTAAGGGGACCCTCTTAACAGCTCAGCGAGGAAGGTTGCATAGCCCCATTTTCTGGGCTGGACTTGCTCATAGTCACGGTCCCAGGGCATGGGGGGCCCGCCAAACTCCAAGCCAGGGCTTCTTTCCGGGAAAGGGGCCCAGGGGTCCTGAGCTGCTCCTGGACATCTCACCCAGCAGTCCTTTCTCTGGGGGTCTGTGGGGGGAGCTATGGTTGGACCTGTCCTCTCTGTCTCCCAACCAGGGACATGGAGATCTTTGCCTTGTTTATTTCCTGCATGTGCCACGACCTGGACCACAGAGGCACCAACAATTCTTTCCAGGTGGCCTCGGTGAGCTCCTGCCCTCCTCCCATTGGGCACCTTCCCTGGGCTGTCTGGGAGAGGTGGGGGCTGGTGAGACCGGGAGTCCGAGGATCCCCCAGGCTTTGTGCTGGGCTCTGGGATGGGGGAGGAGAGAGGGCGAGAGGAGCGGGGCAGTGCTTAGCTCAGGTGGCTGGCACCTGGGTCTGAATGTGAGGAGTGATGGAGTTTTCCTGACCTTTCCAGAAATCTGTGCTGGCTGCGCTCTACAGCTCTGAAGGCTCTGTCATGGAGGTACCACCATTTCCCCCAGCCCCCTGCCTCCCTCCTCCACCTCATTCCCTGTCCTCCTCATCCTCACAAGGCCAGCGATGGGCAGTTAGAGTGTGACCCAGCTCCTCCTGTTCCCAGACCCTGCTTTTCAGACAGGCTGTGAGAATGGCAGCCGCCCCAGGGCATGGCTGGCTGGTTCCCCTGGATGGGCTTGGAGGGGTGCAGGTGTGGATGGGGGAGCAAGTCAGGCTCCAGGTTCTGCTGGAGCCCAGGTTTCCAAAGGGAGGATTTGTATTTAGCGCGATTCTCTGTGCATGTCGGGGTGCAAACCGGTACATGCCCGGTGCAAACCTTCCCTGCCAAGCCTGGGCTGTGCTCCCATCAGACTCAGCTTTGCCTTAGAGGGTTTGGTTTTTGGGTCTGCTCACCCCCAGATGGGGGCTCCTTGGGGCAGAAACAAAGTCTGAGACACCTCTGAGTTCTCTGCACTTAGCACAGGGCTTGGCACAGAGTGGGAGCCAAACCTCCAAGGTTACCTCCCCCCATGCTTCCCCTTGCTACACCCTCCAGAGACCGCCCCTGTTTGCACACCCCTAGAGATGAGGGGCTCACTCCTGCTTGGGAGGCCTGGTAGCAGCCCTGCCTCTGCCCTTCCCACCCTGGGTTGAGCCTCATCCTCCTCCGACTGACAGCCCTTCAGTGTCCGGAGACAAACGTCTTGCCCTTGCCTCGCCAGTGCCTTTCCTTGTCAGCAAACAAATGGTCGCTGTGTGAATTAGTGTCTAGGACTGTGAGGGGCCGTTCTAGAGCTGTTCTGGCTGGAGAGGCCCTCAGAGCTCACTGTGCTGCGCCCCTGCATGTGGCAGTGGGGAAGCGGGCTCAGAGCCAGCCAGGGCCTTGCCTGGGGCCCACCGAGGGGGAAGCAGAGTCCAGAAAGGGACTAGAATGCTGCCTCCCTGTCTCCACCTGCTCCACTCACCTCGGGAGCCAGGGCTGGGCTGGGCCCACTCCTTCTCTTGGGGTTAGTGGTGAGGGGAGCCCCCCATTCCATCTGGGCCCTATCACTCCTGTCCCCCAACAGAGACACCACTTCGCTCAGGCCATCGCCATTCTCAACACCCATGGTTGCAACATCTTCGACCACTTCTCCCGGAAGGTAACGGGGCCAGGGTCGGGGTGAGAGGGTGGGAGCCAGGAGCTGGTGCAAACCAGGAGAAGAGGATGATGGTGGAGGCTCCTCAGGGCCAGGGAGTGGATGGGTCTATCCAGCAGGAGACCATGACGTCTCCCTGCCCCCACCCAGGACTATCAGCGCATGCTAGACCTGATGCGCGACATCATCTTGGCTACGGACCTGGCCCACCACCTGCGCATCTTCAAGGACCTCCAGAAGATGGCTGAAGGTGCCTGCCTTTAGCCCTGGGCCTTGGGGTTGTGGAGGGACCCCCAAGAGAGGATACTGCCTGGAAAGCATCCCCAGAACTTCAGACCCATCCCCTCCAGCATCAACCCACCAGGCAAACCCAGCCCTGGCCTTTGGCTCCCATGCAGGGAGCCAAATTCCCTGGACCACTTTGTGGTGGGCCGTGGGGACCTTGTCCTTGCAAAGAGGGCCTGGGAGTCTGGGCTCTACCCTTTGACCCTGTCTTCTCCCCAACAGTGGGCTATGATCGAACCAATAAGCAACACCACAGCCTCCTTCTCTGCCTCCTTATGACTTCCTGTGACCTCTCTGACCAGACCAAGGGCTGGAAGACCACAAGGAAGATTGCGGTAAGGGCTGCCCCTTCCTGGGAAGGTGCAGGCTGCAAACATTGCCCAGCTCTGTGGGGCTCCTGCCCCCTGAACACCCTTTCTGTGCTGAGCTCAGCATGGCTGTATTAGGGGGAGACAGAAACATCACCTCAGGGTGACAGATGGGAAGATTCAGGAAGGGGCAGGGACTCATCCAGGGTCACACAGCAAGTCAGTGGCTGACGGAGGGTGGGCCAGAACCCAGCCGCTCATCCCCACCTGGGACTGTCCTCTTGACAGGCTGGGGATGGTGGGGACAGGCCCCGAGGTGGAGGTGAGGGAGGCCTCAGGTTGCCCCCTGGGGAATGGGGGCATCCCCCAGACCTGGGTACGCTGTCGAGGAGCTTGGGTGCAGGGATCCCACTCACGAGATCTGATGAGAGCGTTGGCCTTTCAGGAGCTGATCTACAAAGAGTTCTTCTCCCAGGGAGACTTGGTACGTGAGGGATGACCTCAGGGTGTCCAGGTCGGGGGCGGGTTCTTGGCCTGGAGTCGGGTTAGCCCGACCCTTGTGCCTGAGGGAGAGAGAAGAGGGGCGGGCCTGATGCCTCGGTGCCCGCAGGAGAAGGCCATGGGCAACAGGCCGATGGAGATGATGGACCGTGAGAAGGCCTACATCCCTGAGCTGCAGATCAGCTTCATGGAACACATCGCGATGCCCATCTACAAGTGAGGGGCTCACGGGCACTGCTGGGGACTCCGCACAGAGAGGGAGGGGCGGGACGGGGCTGTCCTTGACCGTCACAGCAGACACAGGGCTGGGCTTGGCTCAGCCCAGCTCCCCTGACCCACTGCCCCTGACCCCGGCCTCTGTGCACAGCTTTGTCCCTTCGTCCTTCTTCCCCTATGGAAAGAGACCATTATGCTGTCCTCGTGTGTGCAGTGTTATGCCTCACACTGTTATGGAAGTTCTGTCCGTGGCATAGCCCTAATCTTTCTTCCTGTCATTCTCTGACTCCTGACCCCTAACCTCTAAACCTTGCCCCTGTGTACCCTCAGGCTGCTGCAGGACCTGTTCCCCAAAGCGGCAGAGCTGTACGAACGTGTGGCATCTAACCGTGAGCACTGGACCAAGGTGTCTCACAAGTTCACCATCCGAGGCCTCCCGAGCAACAACTCGCTGGACTTCCTGGACGAGGAGTACGAGGTGCCTGAGCTAGACGGCGCTGGGGGCCCTGTCAATGGCTGCTGCAGCCTCGACGCGGAGTGACCACTCCCGGATCCTTTCCCACCCAGGCCTCCTGCTACAGTCCTCCACTGGCCTGACCAGATGACCTGTGAGCAGAGCCATGGGTCCTGGGTTCTAGGGCAGAACTTCCTGGGTGACCTGGGCAAGTATTGACTTTCCAGGCCTCAGCGTTCTCATCTGTATAATGGAAGCAAGACGTGCAGCCTCACCAAAACTTTGTCACTGGTCCTCTGAGAGTACAGGGGTGACCCATGAGTTGTGGGCCCTGCTCTGCACCTCTGACCGCAGCTTGGCAAGTCCTCCTCAAGCCACTCCTTCCTGAGGCAGCCTGGCTGGCTGCTCCTGGGCGCCGGCCCTGCCAGCCAGATCTGGGCCCTTTTCCCCTCTCCAGGATCCTCATGCAAGGAAGAAGGTGGGACATCTCAGTGAGCAGGGGTGAGGGGGCTGAGAATCTGTCATTAGCACTGCTGGAGAAATAGAAATAGCCACCGGGCCACAGGTGCTCTGGGTCCGCCACTGTATTTATGGTGAGGATGGGGACCTAGGAGCGACTGATGCAGGGGCTCAGTGCTCCCGGGGAAAAAAGCAGGATGGAGTGACGAGCAGGAAGGACCCCTGGGCTTGAAGACTGGCCCCTTGCTGTGTGACCCTGGGCAAGCCCCTTTTCCTATCTGGTTGGAACAGGAGGTGACACAATCTGTTCTCTGAGAGCCCTTTTAGATCCCAGTCCCCATAGCTCTTTGCAGTCCTAGGAGAGGCCATGGAATGCCCCTGACAGCCCAGGGCAGATAGCTGACCCCGAGTCCCTCAGTGGCCCCCTGAGTGAACCCCCTTAGCCTGAGTCCCTCCACCATTCCTGCAGCCAGAGAAGAACCCGGTCTCAGCCCTGGCAGGGTGTCTCTCCTCTTCAAGGCCATATCTACCCATGCCCCAGGGCTTGGGAGACCCCATAGGGCAGGGCCTCTTGGGTCAGTCCTGGCAGCTTCTCCCTTCCTTTGTTGTGTATGTGTTGTGGGGTGGGGGGAGGGGGGCCACCTGCCTTACCTATTCGGAGTTGCCTTTAGAGAGATGTGTTTTTTAGGACTCTGTGGAACTGTTGTATATGGTCCCATGGGCTGACCGCTTTGTACATGAGAATAAATCTATTTCTTTCTACCAACCCTCCCCCATGGGGATGTTTTCAGACTTTGTGCATGGGGTAGGGGGGAAACAAAATTGGAGGAGGCACATGCCCATTAGAACAGCCTGGCTACAGGAGCCCCAACCCCTGTGCCTAGCCCCTCTTCTGGGGGAGTTATAGACATACTGGGCAATTCGTGGGCCCAACAGGATGGCCCAGGGGTAGATGAAAGATGAGGAGTCCTGGGCATGGGGCAGTGAGAGGACATGTTAGTTAGCAGAGATTGTGGACTCCAGAGGGAGAGCTGAGGGACTAAAGTAATCAGGGAGGCCACTTGGTGGTGGTCTTCTACTCCTTCTGGACCCTCTGTCTGCTGGCCTACTCTGATCATGAGTACCCATACAGACAGGTCTTGGGCCTGTGAACCCCCTTCCATCCACAGGGATGTCTGCCTGTATCCCCATAAGTTCTACCAAAGGGATACCCCTAAATCCGACTGTACACCAGGTGTAGCCCTGGGATGTTCCATAGAGCCATTGCCACCCTCTATCCAGGCTGTGCTAGTGTTTGCCTCTGCACAGACACGTAACAGGGTATAGGCTAGGAGATAATACCCTGGGAGATAAATACCCAAAGGGTGTATTTGTAATGGGGTCCAGAACTTGGGGTGTCCAGGAATATAGGATATCCCATCGCCCAAGTCTGGTTGGGGGATGGGAGACATGGAGCAGGGCCACTGAGAGTTATTTTGCACAGCAGCAACAGGCTAGCTCCAACCCATGTGAAAAATGGTTATTTTGCATACCGACAGCAAGTTAGCTAGGGAGATGGGTGTGACTTTGACCCATTCTGTAGCTGGGAGGAAGCTCCCAGCTTTATCTCTCCTCTTTTTTTTTTTTTAATTTATTTTTTTTATTGACTATGCTGTTACAGTTGTTCTATTCCCCCTTTATTCCCCTCCACCCTACCCCCCCATCCCCACCATCACCCCCCCTTTAGTTTATGACCATGTGTCTCAAGTCCTTTAGATTCTATATTTCCCATGCTATTCTTGCCCCCCCATCTATTTTCTATCTACTGTCTATGCTACTTATTTTCTGTACCTTCTCCCCCCTTCTCCTCCTCCCACTCCCCTGTTGCTAACCCTCCTTGAGATCTTCATTTCTATGTTTCCACTCCTGATCTAGCTGTCCTTTTAGTTTGCTTTCCTTTTAGGTGTGGTTGTTAATAACTGTGAGTTTGTTGTCCTTTCACTGTTCATGTTTCTTTAACTTCTTTTTCTTAGATAAGTCCCTTTAACCTTTCATATAATAAGGGCTTGGTGATGATGAACTCCTTGAATTAGATCTTATCTGAGAAGCACCTTATCTGTCCTTCCATTTTAAATGAAAGTTTTGCTGGATAGAGCAATCTTGGTTGTAGGCCTTTGGATTTCATGACTTGGAATACCTCTTTCCAGCCCCTTCTTGCCTGTAAGGTGTCTTTTGAGAAATCCGCTGACAGTCTGATGGGGACTCCTTTGTAGGTGACTGTCCCCTTAGCTCTTGCTGCTTCTAGGATTCTCTCCTTCATTTTAATCTTGGCTAATGTAATTACGATGTGCCTTGGTGTGTTCCTTCTTGGGTCCAACTTCTTTGGTACTCTCTGAGCTTCCTGGATTTCCTGGAAGTCTATTTCCTTTGCCAGATTGGGGAAATTCTCCTTTATTATTTGTTCAAATAAGTTTTCCACTGGTGGCTGTGCCTTTCCCCCTTCTGGTACCCCTATAATTCGGATGTTGGAGCGTTTAAAGATGTCCTGGAGGTTCCTAAGACTCTCTTCATTTCTTTGAATTCTTGCTTCTTGACTCTTTTCTGTTTGGCCATTATTTGCTTTCTTCTGGTCCACTCCATTGATTTGAGTCCCAGTTTCCTTTTCATCGCTATTGGTGTCCTGTGCAATTCCATTCATTTCAATTAGTTTCGCCTTCATATATTTGTCTAATTTGTCGGTATAATCAACCAGTTCTGTGAGGATCCTGATCACCAATGTTTTAAACTGTGCGTCTGTGAGTTTTGCTATTTCTTCATCGCTTAGATTTATTGGCTCTGGGGCTCTGAGATCCTCCTGCGCCACTCTTGGTCTGTTCGGGCCCTTTAAGTGTGAGAAGCGGCGCCTTGGATTCCCAGGTCGCTGGGTTGTGACGCTGTATGTGGGGGCGTGGCCAGAGCGGGGAAATGGCGACCCCCTCTGCCGCTTCTCACAGCTGGGTGCGGAGGAGCAGTGCCTCAGGTGGTTCACCTGGGCCGGGCCACTCAGAGTCGCTGGGTTATGACGCTGTGTGTGGAGGTGGGGTCAGAGCAGGGAAATGGCGGCGCCCTCCACTGCCGCTTGCTGTGGGGACCTGCCGGCCCGGTCCAACCGCCCACTCCCTCGCCTGTCCACCCGCGCACAAATGCGCGACCTCAGTCAACACGCAGCCCTGGGCCCGGCTGTCTCCCCCGCGGTTGCTCGGTGGGTCGCTCACTAGGTCTGACCCTGCGCCTGGATTCCGCTGGCCTGAGTGTGTCTGGCCGAGTCTTCCTGTGCAACCCTGCTCCGCCAGCCGCTGGTTTCGCCCCTTACCGGTCAGGCTGAAGAATTTGTTGTTAACGGACTTCCGAAAAGTTCAATTTTCCGTGTTCTGGCTGTGTTTTCTGTTGCTAATATTTAGTTTTCTCTAATCTTGGTTGTGTGAGAAGGCACGGCACATCCACCTATGCCTCCATCTTGGCGGAAGTCCTATCTCTCCTCTTTATAGCGCCTGCATGAGAGCTTAGAGATGGTTCGCTCCACACCTCCACAGGGACATGCCTGCCCAGACTTACTATGGCAGCCTAGAAAGGCAGAGAATATGGAAGTGCTAGCAGGTGTAGCCAGTTGTGGAAAGAGTCAGAAATGGGGTCATGGAAGAGGTTCCAGGCTGGGATTTAAACTGAAGGTAGGTCGGCACAAGGGATGGGAGCCAACAAGAGACAATGGGGAGACAGTGAGGGAAAGCAACGCAGGAAGAAAAGGGGTGAAAGGACTCTCGCTCATGGGCCATGAGGAGGTGCCACGCGGTTTTGGATTAAGAGCTGGAGATCGTGGCGACACAGCTGTTGGTGCTGGGGACTGCGGGAGGCCTGCCCAGGCCAGCACGATGACTGGGAGAAACCGGGAGGGAGCATAGCTGGGCCAGGGACTTCGATTTCTTTTCCTGAGATGCGGTGCCCCTGGCTGGCCCAGCTGGGCCGAGTGGGGAAGGCGGGGCTGTGTGTCTGTGGGGGTTTCGAAGGGACTTTGGGATTTTAATGGCGACATTCCACCATTACTGTAAACCTGTGTAACTTTTGAATAAATAATTCCTTCCCTCTGTACCTAACTCTTGCACCGAGAGACAGTTACTAACACCTGGTCCGGGCAAGACAAACCTAGTATAGAATGAGCCCGGGGGAGGGGGCTTGTTTGAGTAACAGTATCTGGGCTCCCCAACGGGTTCATTCAGTAACAGACAAAAGGGCAGAGTCCAGATCGGGGGGCCCTGAGGCAGCTCTGACTGGAAAAGTCTCCGGAAAAGTCCCTCCCACGTCTTCTCCCTGTTCATCTCCTCCAGATCAGCACAGCTGACACGTTCAGGGCTGGCTGCCACGATCTGTTTTCCTGGGGGAGGGAGGAAGGGAAGAGTTGGGAGGTGGAAGTGCCAACCTGCAACCACCCACAGTGTCACTGGGGTGCCAGCCTGGCCTTTGGGACCACAGAGGCTGCTACTTCCCCTGCCCCACAACTCGGTATGATTTGGAATTGCTCCTCTGGGCTGAAAGGCCTCGGGGCCTCCTGCCTTAGGTGGGGGGGTGGCAGCTTGGGCTCCTAGCCCTTCCCCTGCCTAGCCCCTGCTTTGGGCTCCCCCGGTCTGTCTCTGTCCTCTCACAGCTCAGAAGCAGTCTGACCAGTGGGCCCCAGGTGGGGGTGGGGGTCAGTTCCTGGCCCAAGGCTGACAAGGGGCAGCTGTTCCAGTGGTGCCGGCAGACACCAGCTTCAGTGTGGACTGATGGAGGCATGCTGCGGTCCATGACCCCAGCACCGGATGTGTCTGCACATCTCTCTTCCACAAGCCTTTGGGCAAAGGGGAAGAACTACCTGGGTACGCATCCTGGGGCCTGGATCTCCCCCCACTGCCTCTGATGTCTGTCCTCAGCCCAGCCTTCCTGTGAGGCCATTTAACCTCATTCCAGGCCCATGTGGTGACATACTCCTTTTTGCCACCAAATTGAGTGAACAACTCACAAAACTTTCCTCCTACTCTCCTGCATACAGGGCCTTGTGCTGGGGACCAGAGCCAACCCTGCCCTTGTGGCTGACCTGGAGGGCCTAGCAGCCTGGTGGGGGAGATCGACCCAAACTCAGATACAGGCCATGACACCCCCAGGGGACACCTGACAGTGGGGCTCCAGGTAGGACCATAACCCTGAGGAGAGCTGCAGTGAGGTCTGGGTGATGAGCAGAGGTTGTTCCCTGTGGGCAAAAGGGGACAGGCACTCCTGGTCACAGCAACTGCTCACACAAAGGCTCAGAGGAGGGGAGTGACTGGCACCTGAGGCTGGAGAGATGGGAGGGGATTAAAGGCCTGATCCGGGCAGGCCTTGAATGGCAGGCTGTGGAGTTTGGCTTCATTTCGTGAGCCAGAGAAAGGTGGTCAGTAGCTGAGTGGCTCGGACATGCATTTGGGAAAGGCCCTCCTGGATAGCAGAGACAGGCCTGCAAGGGTCAAGCTTGGGCAGGACCATTGTAGGGCTCTGACTGTGCCCTGGGCTGGGCAGGAGAGGGAGGAATTTGAGACACATCCAATTGGCAGAACTTGGTGACCAGTTGGGTGGGGTTGGGGGCAGAGGTAGGGCTGAGAGGTGCTCCAGAAAGTGGGGCCTATGTGGCCCCATGGCAACCCTGGGCCGCAGCTCTGAGCTACTCTCAGCAGCTACCGGGTGTTGGGTGGAGCCTCTGGAAGGAGGGAGGCCCTTAGGGGAGGGCAGCTGGGGGAGGTG